GGCTTTTCAGAACGCCTCGACTCCCATAGACCGCAGCGTGTGTCTGGATTTGATATCTCCGGGGCTGGTGGGCCGCTGGGCGGCGCTGCAGTCGCTGGCGACTTTGATGTGGAGTTTCTCCGCCCTTTTTGGGGGTTTTCTGGCGGACTTCACCGACTACAGAAGGATCTTCACTTTCACCGGTAAACCCTAATTTAGGGTTTAGGGTTTAGGGTTTAGCGGCTCGGGTTTAGGGCTGGAGTACGGAAGGATCTTCACTTTCTCCGGTGAACACCCACCTAGGGTTTAGGGTTCAGGGTTTAGGGTTTAGGGGTGGACTACAGAAGGATATTTACCTTCACCGGTAAACACCCACCTAGGGTTTAGGGTTTAGGGTTTGGGGTTTGGGGCTTGGAGTGGAGGGTTTGAGGTTTAGGGTTTGGGGTTTAAGGTTTTAGGCTCGCGAGAGGGTAGGGGCCAGCACCTGCAGGCACAGCAGCGGCGGCGCACTCCCGGCGCGACCTAGGGTTTAGGGTTTAGGGTTTAGGGTTTGGGGTTTAGGGTTTGGGGTTTAGGGTTTAGGGTCTAGAGTTTGGGGGTTTTCGCGCAGGCCGCATCTACATAATGGCGCAGCTGGTGTACCTGCCCTGCTTGTGGCTGCTGCCCCGCCACCACCAGCTAGCTGCTGACCGCCGCCAGCTAGCTAGCCAGCTAGCTAGCCAGCAACTCCCCAAAATCGTCAAGCCGGAGCTCTCCCCCACTACTTCAGGCTGAACAAATAGCTCGCTAGCTAGCTAGCTAGCTAGCTGGAGAGCTCGCTAGCTAGCTGGCGAGCTAGCCAGCTAGTTAGCTGGGGAGCTAGCTGGGGAGCTAGCTGGCGAGCTAACATGTTAGCTATCTGGCTAGCTAGCTAGCTAGCTAGCTGGCCATTCAGGTGCATGTGGCTGTCACTTAGTGTGCCGACAGGCTTGACAGCGCGGCAGACGTCTAGCTAGCTAGCTAGCTAGTCAGCTAGCTAGTTTGCTGGCTAGCTAGCTTGTTAGTTGGCTATTTAGCTAGCTAGCTAGTAGCTAGCTAGCTGGCTAGATGGGTAGCTACCGAGAAATAGATAGCCGTCCCTTATACTCAGTCCTCGCCTAGTTGAGTTCTGAGTAGCGGGTCAGCCGGTGGAAGCTAGCTGGCTAGCTAGCTAGCTGGCTAGCTAGCCAGCTAGCTAGCTGGCTCGGCAGCTAGTTGCATTTGCTGAGCATCCAGCTAGCTATCTAGCTAGCTGGCTAGCTAGCCAGCTGGCTAGCTGGCTTGGCAGCTAGCTGCATTTGCGGAGTAGCCAGCTAGCTGGCCAGCTAGCTAGCTGCTGCTGCAGGCTATCTCACAAGAAATTAGTCCCTGGGGTTTTGTGTCTAAAGTCAGGGAATCCAAAGGGGCCCCTGGGGGCCCCCCAGGGGCCTCCGGGGGCCCCCCAAGAGACCCTAGGGGCCCCCAGGGGCCCCCCGGGGCCCCCAGGGGGCCTCAGGGGGCCCCAGGGGCCCCTCGGGATTCCTCTCATCTCTTTTGATTTCCTTATTTTAAAATGTTTCTTTTGTTCATGCATGCAGCAGCTGCATGCAGTTGGTGCATGCAACGTTTTGGGGCTTTTTAGGTGCCCGGACCCTCCTGGATAGCTAGCCAGCTAGCCAGTTAGCTAGCCAACTAGCTAGCTAGCTAGTCAGCTAACGAGCTAGCTAGTGAGACAACCAGCTAGCTAGCTAGGTAGCTAGCTAGCCAGCTTGTTGGCTAGCTAGCTGGCTGGGCATTTGCGTAGCTGGCTAGCTGAGCTGGGGAAGAACTTGGCGGCGGGCCCGCTGGCTAGCTGGGCAGCTAGCTGGCTAGCTGAACAGCTTGCTAGCTAACTGGTTGGACATCAGATAGCTGGCTGGTCAGATCACTAGCTAGCTGGCTGGCGAGCTAGCTAGCTAGCTAGCCAGGTGGGGAAACAGCTAGACAGCTGGCTGCTTGGACAGCTTGCAAGCTTGCCATCTGGCTAGCCAGCTAGCTAACTGGCTAGGTAGTCATAGCTACATGCTGCTTGGCTAACTGGCTGATTAGCTAGCTAGCTAGCTAGCTAGCTAGCTAGCTAGCTAGCTGGGGCGGCGGCCTTGGGAGGTTCTTGATCATTTGTCTCCACAAAGGCGGAAAAGTAAATCCGGGCGAACTCAAAGATGTCATCCTGAGCAGCAGATGCAGCAGCGGCAGCAGCGGCCCAGCTAGCTGTAGCTAGCTATAGCTAGCGCTAGCTAGCTCCAGCTAGCTGTGTCTATCTAGCTAGCTGTGTCTAGCCAGCTAGCTGTGTCTAGCCAGCTAGCTGTGTCTAGCCAGCTAGCTGTGTCTATCCAGCTAGCTGTGTCTAGCTAGCTAGCTGTGTCTAGCTAGCTAGCTGTGGCTAGCTAGCTAACTAGCTAGCTAGCTAGCTAGCTAGCTGGCTAGCTAGCTGTGGCTAGCTAGCTAGCTAGCTGACTGGCTTCGAAAGGAGAACGGCGGTGGC